CCTTCCACACTGAATAATGAAATGCAGGAAGAGAGAGAACCCTTCAGTTCCCTGGGCTGGGATGACTCCTGGTTGCTCTTCTGCTTCTGCCTCCCAAGGGCCGGGATTAGAGGCATGTGCCGCCTTGCCTACTGGGGAACTTTAATGCACACACAGACATTCTTTCCCTTTGTCATTTGACAGAAATAGGGTTACCCTAACAAACCCACTCATCTGTGTCTTTTGGACTTTCGCAGGTTTTCTTGGCTGACTTTTTCTTTCAGATGTGGTCTTACTGAAATGTAATTTATACAGGGGGCTGGAGAGATGGCTCAGCGGTTAAGAGTACTGCCTGCTCTTCCAGAGGTGCTGAGTTCGACTCCCAGCAACCACATGGTGGCTCACAACCATTTACAACATGATCTGACGTGCAGGTGTACAAGCAGATAGAGCACTCATATACATAAAGTAAATAAGTCTAAAAAAGAAAGAAAAAAAGAAATGTAATTTACACCTTACAATCTGCTCATTTCAAGTGGGCAGATCTTACTATCGTGACAGAATGCAGACATACAATCAGCTTGGAACCTTTTCACTAGTACGTAACATTTTCACTAGTACGTCATTCCTCATTTCTCTCCTCACTGGCCTCAGGCAAGCCCTGGTCTACTTCTGCTTCCATAGCTTTGCTTTTCTGGGCATTTACAGAAATCAGAAGTCATTTCAAGTATAGTTTCATTCCTTTTTTTAAGTGCTGAGTCACATTCCATTATATGAGTATGCCTTTTTAAATATATAGAGAGAAGGTTTCTGTGTGCTGTCCTGTCACTCACTCTGTAGACCAGAATTGACCTCAAAACCAGCACCCAGAGTCAGGCAGATCTGTGTGAGTTCAAGGCCAGCCTCGTCTGCATAGTGAGTTCTAAGCCAGCCAGAGCTAAAATTAAAAAAGAAAAGAAAAAGAAAGAAGAAACAAACAGAAGAAGAACAAGAATGGAACTATTTGGGCAGTGGTGGCACACACCTTTAATCCCAGTGTTCAGGAGGCAGAGGCAGGTGAATCTCTTAGCTTGAGGCCAGTCTGGTCTACAGTTTGAGTTCCAGTAAGTACTTTCATGATGTGTATGTGGGGACATGCATGGCAGGGTGAGCTTGTAGAGGTCAGAGGACAGTTTGAGGAGTCAGTTCTCTTTCCACCACGTGGGTTCAGATGATTCTCATTGCTAGGCTTGTGCAGGGAGCATCTTTACCACTGAGCCATCCTGCCAACCCCCTCTCCCGTTGGGGTGTGTGTGTGTGTGTGTGTGTGTATGTGTGACAGTCTTACTGTGTAGCCTAGGTGGACCCGTCTGGAACATGCTGTGTAGTCCATGCCGGATCGAACCTACAATCCTCTCACCTCAGCTGACAGGTGTGATCCACCACATCCAGCCTGTTCACACATAATTGTGAGGACGTTTTCATTTCTTTTGAGTGTCTCCTAGGAGCAGAATTGCTGGGCCTTATAAAACCCTGTGTTTAAATTTTTCAGGAACTGACAGGCTGTTTGTGTGAGGCAGTTGCACCATTTTACAGTTGCTCGAACAGCTGTGGGTTCCAATTCCTGAACATTCTTACTGACTTACATTACTGCCCAGTTTTAAAATCCTATCCATTATAGTGGGGTGTGGCTTTCAGCTGTATTTCCCTAATGACATCTTTTCATGTGTACATCAGCTGTATGGGTATAAATAATTTTATTAAATTATTTAATAATTACATTTATAAATAAATGATTTTATTTGTTCATTTTTCACTTGTATTTGTGTGTGTGCATGCATGAGTGCACTTTTATACATGTGCCTGTGGAGGCCAGATGAGGCTGTCAGATCTCTGAAGCTGAAGTTACAGATGATTGTGAGCCAAAAATGGGTGCTGGCTGGGGATTGAACTTTAGACCTCCATGAGACATTGTTTGTTTTGCTTTTGTGTTTTGTTTTGCTTTATTTTTGAGACAGTCTAGCTCAGCTAGTGTTAAGGTTATTCTTATAAAACTGTGTTTGTTTCTCAGTTTCTCTCTTAACCCAGTTATTGCAAGTAATTGAGACTCTTTTCTATTTGTTTAATAATAAGCTTCACAACACAACAACTGATCAGTTATTATTCTATTCTTTTTTAAATTTTATTTTATTTATATATTTATTTATTACAATTTATTCATTTTGTATCCCTGCTGCAGCCCCCTCTCTTGTCTCCTCCCAGTCCCACTCACCCTCTCTTCTCCCTCTTTCCCTAGTCCCCTGCCTGATAGGGGAGGACCTCCTCCCCTTCTATCTGATCCTAGCTTATCTCATCAAGGCTGGTTGCATCATCTTCCTCTGTGGCCTGGCAAGGCTGCACCCTCCGGGGAGAGGCGATCAAAGAGCCAGCCACTGAGTTCATGTCAGTATTCTTAACCCAATATGCTACTCCCAGTGTGCATCCCAGAGATACTTGCACTTTGTAGCTTTCTTGCCCTAGCTCCTCTTCTGACCTTCCTTCACCCTCTCCTGTGGCTGATTCCCTCTTGGACATCTGCCCGTGACTCAATCACCTATTTCCTCCTGTAACTTCTCCCCTGACTGGCAGGAAGTCCAGCCCTATTCTCTCTCTTGCTCACTAACTGGTTGTAAGCCACCTTATTGGCGTATCAGAGGGCAATTGAGGAGCAGAGTTTACACAACATTGAGACAAAAAATTTTCAGAACAAAGATTGTAGCAAGCTATTGGGATGGGGGGAGCGGTATAGAAACCAGCATTTGAATTACACAATAACCTTATGCCTACAAGCTAGTCTTTAAGTTTCTAGCCTCAGTTTCTAGAGGACAGAGATTTCTAGAGGCATGCTCTACCGCTCCAGACAAATAACTGTTCACACCCTTCGGCTTTTTGTGTGCGTGTTTTATTATCAAGTTGTAAGAATTTTTTGTAGAGTCCCTTATTGAGTTTATGTTTTGAAATTTTTTCCCCATTTTGTGGGTTACCTCTTCTCTTTCTTTCTTTCTTTCTTTCTTTCTTTCTTTCTTTCTTTCTGCCTGTCTTTCTTTCTTTCTGTCTTTCTTTCTTTCTGTGTGTCTTTCTGTGTTTGTTTCTGAGAAGAGCATCGGCTGTGCTGTGCGTCCACTTGCAATACTTTCTCTCTCTCTCTCTCTCTCTGTACTGTTTACGTTTTATTTTGTGTGTGTGAGCATTTTGCCTGCCTCTGGGTATGTGCACCCTCATGTGTATCTGGTCAGAAAAGGGTGTCAGGCCCCCAGAACTGGAGTTATGGATGGTTGTGCGCTACCGTGTGGGTGCTGGGAACTGAACCCCGGTCCTCTGCAGGATGCTCTTAACTACTGAGCCATCACACCAACTCCCCCTCTTCTATAATGGTGTCCCTTAACATGAACAAGCTTTTTATTTTAATTATTTATTCTTCTGTTCCTGGTACTTTGGCTGTCGTGTTGAAGAAATCTTGTTGGCTGTGGTGGCAAATTGCCTGTAATCTGAGCACCTGGGAGGCAACAAGGAGATTGGGAGTTCAAGGCCAGTTCAGGTACACAACAAGTTAAAGGACAACCTGTGCTGTATACAGTAAAACGTTATGTCAAAGAGAACCAGGACACACAAGGCTCAGTGCTGGAGCATCTGCTGGATATGTGAAGCCCTGGGTTCCATCCCCGGCACCACCCCCACTGCCGCAGCCAAGTCTTCGCTTAACCCAAGATGATGAGGATGTCCTGTATTTCCTGAGGTTATGCTTACTTAGGTTTTCAGTCCATTTTTCACGAAACTTTTGCATGCAGTGTTAAGGAAGGGATTCAGGGACTGCCAGCCGCATTTGTTGAAGGTTAGTCTTGCCAGATTCAGTCATTTCCGCATCTGGCTGAAAGTCAGTTGACCCTGTGAGTGTGAGACTTCCATCTTTCATTCTCGGTGTGCTCTCTGCTGACCATCCTTGTGTGTCCCTGGGTTCTAGACCTCCTCGTTTGTTTCTAGCCATCACACAGTACCTCACTGTGTAGAAAGAAATGCTGTAATTTATAAACCAGGCCTCCACTGATGGAACTTCAGAGGACAATTGTAAGGGTGTTCATTTACTGAGGGGAAACACTTAAATGTTTTGTCTGTGCCAGGCACTTTCTAAGCCAGTCAGTGGGCGCATGGATAATAGAAGGAGAAGGGGACTGCAAGATGGGGAGGAAGTGGGAGGAGTAGACGGAGAGGAAGCCATAATCAGGATATACTATGTGAAAAAAGAATCTATTTTTTTGTTGTTTTATTGTTGTTGTTTGTTTGTTTTTATTTTTGTTTTTCAAGACAGGGTTTCTCTGTGTAGCCTTGGCTGTCCTAAAACTCACTCTGTAGATCAAGCTGGCCCCCAACTCCCTCATAGCCTCTGCCTCCCTGAGTGCTGGGATTAAAGTTGCTCGCCATCACCACCAAGCAAGAATCTTATTTTCAATAAAAGGAAAAAAAATGAATAAGAGAAGAAAGTACACAGGACAATTTTAACTCAGGAAGATCACTGAGAAGAAAATAAAACAGGGTCTTTGACTTGGAAATAAGGAGATTTTTCTGAAGTGGCATCCTTTGGGCTGCCATGCCAATAGTGAGAAATGGCACAGTTCAGAAGGCTGGTCCAGGCACAGAGAACAAGCAAATACAAAAGCCTTGAGGTAGGAGGAATGAGCTTGATGCGTGGCCTAGAGAAGCAGCCAAGGCCTGAGGTCTAGGGCAGGGGTCCAGGAGCCCCAGCTGGTGTAGCCTTCGCAGAGCGTGCATTGTAGCCCTTATTTGAGGGGGTTCTGGAGAGCGTCAAGCAGAGGAGTGGTTTGATACAGTTCATGTCCCTAAGTGATAGCTCTGGTTGTTTGCTTGCTATTTCTGGTTCCCAAGCACTCAAGAGTTCTCGGAAGTGAAATGACTGGGCCGATGGGTGGTCACCACCACTGTCATGCAGGGCCTCGGAATACCCTCACGCCCGGGAGCCGGCACCCACCGCTCTGCTTCCCTTACAGGACCGTCCTCGCTGCACGCGCGCAGTGTGCGCAGTAACTCTGGCTGCACAGGGGAGCCCCCGGGGAACACGGGCGCCGCTGCAACATGGCAGACGAAGACCTCATCTTCCGCCTGGAAGGGGTTGACGGCGGCGGGTCCTCCCGAGCTGGCCACGACGGCGACTCCGACGCAGACAGTGACGATGACGAGGGCTACTTCATCTGCCCCATCACTGATGACCCCGTGTCCAACCGGAACGTCAGCTCCAAGGCCCAGAACTACTACAGCAACCTAGCGAAAAGCGAGTGCGGCTCCACAGGGTCACCGGCCGGCTCCTTCCACTTCAAGGTGAGTGGCCGCCGGTTCTGCACTGTGTGGCCTGCCGACCTGGGGGTCTCTGATCGATGTCTTAATTGTCTCCGAACCCCGGCAGCGCGTTCTGCCCGGGAGGGTGTTCCTATTCATCTGGGAGGTGACTGTTGGCTTAAGATTTGTCACCACGTAGCAGTGCTTTTTAAATAGATGGAAACCCTTTGGGGCTGGTGCGATGACTCTGCAGGTGAAGGAGCTTATCGGTAACCCTGACGACTCATGTTGGATCCCCAGGACCCACACAGAATCCTGGAGGTGGTTTTCTGGCCTCTGCGGTTATGCGTGGAACCTACGTGCCCCCATACATGGGCGTACACACACACACACACACACACACACACACATACACACACACAACACACTAAATTAAATAAACAAACGTAATGTTTAGAATAGCTGTTTGAAAACCTTTCCATGAGTGTGTTTTTTTTTTGTTTTTTTTTTTTTTTTGAGAAATAGGACAAAATTGATTTAATAGAAAATATTGAAGAACACTGTAGAGTGCAAGCATCTCATTTCTTGGACATTCGTATATGCGATTCTGTGTGCATGGTTTTGGTGAGCTGATTAATTGCATCCCAACATTCTAGAAAGAATGGAAAATATTAAAGAGCATTTAAAAAGTATAAGGATCTTATTTCTCTCGGTTTGTTGGTGGTGGCGAGACAGGGTCTCATTAGTAGCCAAACTGATGATGAACTCATGATCTTCCTACCTCAGCCTTGGGAGCATGCCTGGCTCAAAGTTATTTATTTATTTGTTTGTTTGTTTGTTTATTTGGTATAGCATTGGCTGTCCTAGAACTAGCTCCAGCTCTGTACACCAGGCTGACCTTAAACTCGCAGAGATCTGCTTGCCTCTGCCTTCCCTGAGTGTTGGGATTAAAGGTGTGGGCCACCACTGCTTGCTTTGTTTTTTTGAGACAGAGGCTCATGAAGTCTCAGAATCACTAGATCACTGTGTTGCCAAGGATGACTTTGAACTCCTGATCTTTCTGCTTCCACCTCCCAAGTGCCGAGACTATAGGTGAGAACCACCGTGCTTGGCTGATCCATCCTTATCCATGCACGGTGTGTTCTAAAACTGTAGGGGATGTGTGAGACATGAGGAGTGGCTAACCCTCTGTGTGCTGTTTCCTCCCATCCACACATACCTGTGATAGAGGTTTAAGCCATAAATTAGACACATCAAAAGATTAACAGTCACAGCCAGGCATGGTGATGCACGTCTGTAATCCCAGGGAGGCAGAGGCAGCGAGTTCGAGGCCAGCCTGGTCTACAAAGTGAGTTTAGGATAGCCAAGGCTACACCTGTCTCAAAAAAGAAAAAAAGAGAGAGGGAGAGAGAGAGAGAGAGAGAGAGATTGACAGTCACTGAAAATAAAATTATAACAACATAGTAAAATAAGAGCTATGTCCTGGGGGTGTCACTCAGGTAAGCACTTGCTGCCTGTATCCAAGGCCCTGGGTTCCATCTCCAGCACTGCAAAGAACCAAACCAGAGCGAACAGACTATAAGGTTGTGAGCGCGTGGGCGCCCTCGTTCTCTCAAGATAGCATGTTGTACCGTGTACATGTAGATACTTCTGTGCTGTCTCTCATTGGCCACAGGCAGCTGAAACCGTAGGATGGGAAGCCACAGATAAAGAGGACCACTGTCCACACCCTTCACAAATGCAACAGCCTAGTGCCTATTTTAGAAGTTCACCATCATCCTCAGGCTGAGACCAGCCTGCGACATGAGGCCCCATCCTTTAAAAATGACAGAATAGGCTGGGAAAATGGCTTATCTGTTGAGAAAGCATTCTGCTTCCTCAAACAACCCAAGTTTGAATCCCAGCACCCTCTTGAGCTGTCTTATTACTGTCACCTGCTCTAAGGGATCTAATGCTTTCTTCTGACCTCCTTGGGCACTCTTGTACACATCTGGCATGCACATGCCCATATATAATATTTTAAAAAATAAACTTTAAAAGAGTTTTTTTAATAAGACAAAACAGACAAAATTATGCATTGAACCTTGTTTTTGTAGAGGGTTTTTTTTTTGGCATATATGTGTGCAGTGTACATGTTCACATGTGGGTGCTTGTACGTGTGTGATTGTGTATGTGTATATGTATATGTGTGTGCAAGCTTGGAGTTGACATGAATGTGTGTGTGCGTGCGTGTGTGTGTGTAAGCCAGAAGTTGGCATGGATGGCTTCTTCCATCACTATCTATTTTGTAAATTGAGGCAGGGTCTCTTTATGAACTCTGCTCATTCTGGCTAGCCAGGTTGTCCTGGGGATCCCCTCTGTTCTAGGATTACAGCTGGCGGCCATGTCTGCCTGCCGTTTGACATGCATGGGTAGGGGGACCCAACTCTGGACCTCTGTGTTTTTTCAGGAACCACACTCCCAGCCCCAATAAAGATAATTTAATATAGGCACGAGGGCTGAGAGAAAGAGAGGGGCTCAGAGGGAAAGGCAAGACTCCGCAGAGTGTGTGTATGTGTGCTCGTGTGTGGTGGGCTTGTCAAAGAAGAGTGCAGACAGACAGTGCGCACCCTGCCTTCCCTACCTGCTGCTCAGCTCCCTGTGTTTGGTGTTTGCTTGTTTGTTTTAACAGCAGTCATACGTTGGATTTTGGTGAGGTTTGAAGGGTTGCTTAGAAATGTAAATGAGAGCTGGTTTTAGTGGTTGGAGCCTTTAATCCCAGCAGAGGCAGTCAGAAAAACCAAAGAAAAAAGAAAAGAAAAGAAATGTAAATGAGACCGCTGGGTGTTTCCTCAGGAGCACCTGCAGGATTACAGTTGGAAATGTAAAAGTCTCCCTCACAGCGGTGCAGAAGGCAGGACCTCTTCATTGTAAACCAGTTTCATTGGAGATCTTTTGGTGATGGTTTAAGGAAGGGATGGAGGATCTACCCAAGATACTATGCATTCAGGTCTGAGCCTGGGTCATTGTTACTTGGTACAAAATATCTCTGCATGAAGGGAAAGTTAAGTCTACGTGAGCATCTTGTACAGGAAATGTTAATTATTGGGGGGGCTGCTCCCCAGCTCTTAGCTGATGAGTACTCATTTGAAATACTCCTAGGTGAAGATTCTGTACTCTTTCCACGTCTCCGAGTTTCCCTGTCTTTTTTTTTTTTAATTTTGCCTCAAAATCTTATTTGTATAGTTTTAAGTATCTTAATTTCATGCTATATGTGTGTATTTAAGTGAAGGGGTTTATTTTTATTTTATTTTATTTATTTATCCATCTGTCTGTCTATCTATCTATCTAGTTTGAGACGGGTTTCTCTGTGTAGCCCTGGCTATCCTGCAACTCATTCTGTAGACCAGGCTGCCCTCCAAATCAGAGATCCTCCTGCCTTGCCTAGCTGAGTGAAGGGATTTGTGGTGTAAAATGTAGTTCTTTATTTTGGTTTGGTCAGAAAGCCATTCCTTAGAGTGCTGGACTGAGGAAGAGGTGATTGGGGTTCTCTTCACACCCTGACAGCCTGTTGTCAGGAGAGTGAGGAAGACCAGTATTCCTGGGCATCATCTGATAGATAACACACAGGGAAGGTTAGAACAAAGTGCTGTCATCCTTGTTTAATTTGTCATTATAGACAGTGACTTAGCATTATAAGCAAAATCCCTGTTACTGCACTGAGACTTCCAATTAAAACCATCCTCCTGTGACTTTAGAAATTGTCTTTTTTAGAAAATTTTATCATTTTAGTTCTTAAAGACACTGGATAGGTTTGTTGGTTGATTGGTTGGTCAGTTTTTCACAGTGTTTCTCTGTGTGGCCCTGGCTGTCCTGGACTCTTTGTAGACCAAGCTGGTCTCAAATTTACAGTGATCCTCCTGCCTCTGCCTCCCTGAGTGCTGGGATTACTGGAGTGTGCCACCAAGCCAGGCTTTGTTTTGTTTTGGGGTAGGTTTTTGTTTGTTTGTTTCCCCCATTTCAGGGCTTAACTCACTCTCCAGCGCATAGCTCCAGAAATAACTCAGTCTCCTCTGGGTTTGTGGGGCCCCTGAAGGACAGGTTCCAGTTTATCCTGCTCCTCATTCCAAGGCAGCTTTGCAATATGTTCCCAGTGCCCCAATGCTCCACCTCAGACAGCTTGCAGTTAGGTGCTGACTCATGGAGTGACACTGAACAGTTACGTGAGGAGTCAGCTAAGAGCCCCAGGGAACACTGAGGGAGCCCCACAGAGTTTCCTTTCGTTGACCAAAGCCAGTGGTTCCGGTTCCCTACCTTCTAATGCTGGGACTCTGTAAAACATACAGTTCCTTATGTCGTGGGGTCTTCCAACCATAAAATTATTTTTGTTACTTCTTAACTGTAATTTTGCTACTGTTACGAATCGTAATGTCAATATCTGATATGCAGGATTTCTGATATGCGACCCCAAGAAGCACTTGATAAAAACATTGAACCAGGCATGGGCAGATTAAGTCTTCATTGCTCACTTACTGTTACCATGGGAGTGGGTCCAAGGAAAGACTAAGCTTGGTTTCCAACCTCATTTCCCTTGGCATATATGTGTGTGTGTGTGTGTGTGTGTGTGTGTGTGTGTGTGTGTATACACACACACACACACACACACATATATATGTATGTATATATGTATATACACATACATTTTCTTTTTTTTTTTTACTGTTGACATGGTTACCTGGGCTGTTTACCAAAGATGGCCATCTGGCCTTCCTCCAAAAATCTGGCCCCAGCAGGTACTGGGTATGTATTGCGAAATGTCGGGTTCTGTCAGGGTCCCTATTCCCCAGGGATGGGGCAGAATCGCTCAGAAGGCCTCTAGGTAGATATCACTCTTCCCTCAGAGGCGGTTTACCCTATGTGAGAAAGGGCCTCAGTCCCAGAGCTCAGTTTAAATGTACAGCTTTGAAATGAGAGGAGTGTAGGAAGGGAGGGAGGGAGGGAGGGAGGGAGGGAGGAAGAGAGATTGACTGTTTAAGGAAGAGTATCACTATCAGGGATTGCTT